AAGTCAGGCTGCCTCTCCACTCTAAGTTTTTGACAGCTTCTTTCAAATTTAGGAAATTCAGTCTAATAGAAGAAAAACTTTGACCCTGCTGGATGAGACAAAGACTTCTGTTCTGTCTCCAGATCCCACAGTTTCAATTCCTGAATGGTTCCTGTGCATCAGGAAGACTGCTGACTTGCCATACCATCCAAAATGCACCTGCTTCCCCTGTAGAGAAACATGGTGTGATGCTAATAATGTTCCTGCAATTCTTGACTTCTGGGAGCACACATCATATCCTGTTCAAAGCCCTGGGCTCATTGCCAGGAGGTGCATTCTTCTCTGTGCCACTCATTGAGTCAGGATATGTATATGGGCACATATGTGAAACATACTTACTGCAAAATAATATAATAATTGCATAATACTTAATGGGTTTGCACACTCAAACACCATTCAATCATAAAACCACTGGATCAGAGTAGAGAGGGAAATAAGTTAGAATATTCTGAAATACAACACCAGATTACAAATATGAGCTTCAGCATATACAGCAGAAGGAATTTATCACACCCTATTTGCTATAAGGAAACAAGGGAGGGAGAAAGTGTGATGGAGTAAGGGTAAGGGTCCCTACACTTGTCTCAACCCTGGAACACAGCTAGGGAGTTATCAAGTCATTCTGAGCAACCAAGAAATCAGTCAGAGGTCTGAGAGTCGAAAACTGCAAGTGTACAAATAGAAAATCAACCACCTTTTGGAATGTAGGAGGTGTGCAGATTTGTCTTCTGAGTGATACAATGTGGGAATGACCACCGGAAAGAGTGAGCCTCCTGAAACTACCGACAATGTATTATAGAAGCAGAGAGCAAATTCTGAACTTTTCGAAGTCCGCTACTGTGGGGATGTGCCTGGAATAAAGATGCTGAAGTGGGAAAGTGGGGCAGAAATACAGGGTCTGAGCATCCCCTGAGCCAGAAGAATGTGCAGTACTAATGTGATGCATAGTTGCTAGGCATAGGAGCCTGAAACCTGGTCAAAGGGTGAGTCTCAGTGCAGCATTCTGCTCTGCTTTGCCATAAATGGTGAACCACTGTGTGGTCATGTGACCTCTTTCCTGAGACTTGCAGGCAAAAGGCAAAAAGGCTATGAGACCCTCTGCTAGAGAATAGCATAGGTCCACCCCATGTGAGTCCCGAATTTTGAAGTTTTGAAACTCACTCATGTGCCTGAGATAGAGCAGCTCCAACAAAGGCAGGGTGAACACAGGGTTCAAATGGAAACTGGGGACAAAAAAGTGTTGAATGTTGTTCTGTGAAGGCTCAATGAAGAGTGCAGGGTGCGAACTTACAACACCGGTTTAGAGCAGATGCCATATTTAACCCACCCATCAGTGCAAAACAACTCTACCTATTTGAAGCCAGAGCCGCATACACCAAGCGCTGCACCCAGCTCCCAAGATGGGAATTTCCACTAGGCCAGAACCCCTGAGAAGAACCACAACAGGCACCTCCCTGAGATCAGCAGAATCTATTCCTTCTCACCAAGTCTAATGATCATTGAGTGCTGTGAATTTTCAGCTCTAGGGGAAGTAGGATTTAGCTTTCTTTCTTCTTTTATTTTATTAATTTCTTCTATTATTACTTTATTTTATATTTAATTTTATTCATTTTTTGCCCTATATTCTTTTTTAGAAGCAGACCAAAACGAAACCAGGATCTTCGTTTCTTGATTTTCTTACCCCATCCTTTTTTTATTTTCTGAAAAAAAAGAAAAGAAGGAAAAATTAACCCAAAAGAAAGAAAAAGAAAGAAAACCCAAGCAAAAGCCTTTTAGTCAATACAAATATAGGTACGATGTCTGAACTAGACCTTAAAACAATGATTTTGAGGATACAAACTGGGCTTTAAAAATGGATAGAAGACAGTAGAGAATCCCTTACTGCAGTGATAAATGAACTGAAATTGAATCAGGCCCAAATTAAAACAACAACAACAACAACAAAAACCCACAAACAACTAAATCCAAGATGCAATCCCAAGTGGAGGCCATAAAAAATGAGGATGGATGAAGGAGAGGAGCGAATCTGTGGTATACAAGATAAAATTAAAGAAAATGAATGAAAAGAAGAGGGAAATCAAGGAAATGGGCCATGAAGGTAGATTAGGAACTCAGGGACTTATTAAAACATTATAACATTTGTATCATAAGAGCCACAGAAGATGAAGAGAGATAAAAAGGGGGATTAGTTTTATGCCATAAAATAATAGCCGAAAAGTTCCCTAATATGCAGAAGGACACAGATATCAAAATCCAAGTAGTACAGAGAACTCCTAATAAATTCAACAAATGCTGACTATCTCCAAGGCATATTGTAGTCAAACTCACAAAATACAGCACAGACAAGTAAAGGTTCTGGCAGGAGCAAGGGAACAAAGGGGCTTAACCTCAGGGCTTTCAGTAAAACACAACTCTGTGAAGTGATGATCAGACTCAAATCTCACAGTCATCACATCCACATCTTCTGGAAGACTGAAAAAACATCATCCTTAAATTAAAGTTCCACATATTCTGGGAAACCCTGACTCCCTTGTACCAGGTTTCTCCCTCTGTGTGTCCACTGTGTCCTTTCACAGAGTCCTAGGAGAGTACTGGTTAGTCCTATCTGCAGGAGGGAACATGTGAGAAATCCATCCTGGAGCCTCACTGAAGGAAATTACCAGGTACTTTTCCCAACAAATGCAGTAGGGAAATGCCAGAGCATCCGTGCTTGGGTTCATGTGTCACTAATGTCTCAGTCTGTTCCAGCTGTTGTAACAATGTACATGGAGTGGGTGGTTTTATATAACAGACACCCATTCCTCACAGTTGGATTCTGGAAGACCCTGGTCAAGGCGCAGAAGGTTTTGGTGTCTGGAGGGCACCCACATCCTAGTGTGTCCTTTCCCTGGCACCTCACATGGGATCAGGGGGCAGGGAGCTTTCCCAGTCCTGTGGTATAAGGGCACTAATCCTGTCATGAGACTGCACTGTCTGTCCTAAATAACTCCCTAAGGCTGGTACTCCTCGATCCATCACAGTGTCCTTGGGATTCAACCTGTGATGGTCGAGGTCATACACATTGAGCTGATATCAGCAACTGAAAGATAATTAGTTATTCCCCGCAGGTGGAAGGCTCCTCCCATCCAGCACCTCAGCCTGAGGATTCTCATGGATCCACTAGAACCTTCTGGTCTCTGTGTGCACACAGCAAACACAAGGACGTCAGAACCAGTTTGTGACCTTGGGGAGTGGACAGCTTCCACTGCACACAGGGGTAGAACTCAGTCCACTTCTATCATTATATTTCTACTTGTGATGTTTCCATGGATTATTCTTCTAATTTTCCAAGGATTCCAATCATTTTCTACTCAGAATGGCCATTTCTCTCTTTTGTTCTTGCCATTTGCACACGTGTTTAGTCGAATTAGTCATCACTCGGTATCTTTTGATTATTGTCTGTTAGCACCTTGACCTTCATTCCTCACTCTTCTCTTCCTGCCTCTCAGATGGAAACTCTAACAAGAACACACCAGTTCTCCCTCCTTTGATGCAGGTGGGAGACTGGCTCCACATAAACCCTTCCCATGAACAGAACCCCATCCCCACCACTGACCCACAGCACACACCCTGAGCCAGTGTCCTTCCTTGGCTCCATCCAAGCAGTTATGACTTGAGGAGAGGCCTGCCCTGCTCTCAACAGACAAAATGGTAAAAGGGATGAAAGTTTTATGTTCTCATGTTGTGTGTTTGTGTGTGTGTGTGTGATCAACAGACTCTACATCCACACCATGTCCTGGTGGGGGTCCCTCTGTTTCCCTCGCTGCCACTAATATTGTTGGGAACATGGTTTAAGACAGTGAGCCCCACCAGGGATCTTTCTTCTCTGGCTTTGGATTGTTGATGCCACTGTAGCCCCATATCCAGAGTGCACTTCTTGCAAGCTTGCACACTGAGCTGGATTCTCCTATGATACACAGTGAGTGCAGCTGGGACTCTTGAAAGTATTCAGGGGATTTGCATGGAGATATTTGTAATTCATTCATATTTAGGTCCAGGAACAAGCAAGTGCAAGTGACACTGACTACTGCAGTTGCTTGTATAGTAGTTCTTCAACTATTTATTTGTCAGAGAATGAATAGGTAGCACAGAACTATGTGTGCGGAGAGGCTCTCTGGGGGAAACAGCTATAATCAGAGAGGAAGCCCCAGACCCTGGCAGGAAACCTGCCTTATCCTCCAGCTGCATCTGCTCCTGGGCCTTAAAGACAAAATGGTGAGTAGTGTGCACGCCCTGGTGGTCCAGATCCCCTTCTACAGTGAGGTTTCTGTCTGGGCTCACACTGAGTTCCCCTCACTGTGTCACTGGCACAGTAATACACAGCCGTGTCCTCGGCTCTCAGGCTGTTCATCTGCAGATAAAGTGTGTTTTTGCCGTTGTCTCTGGAGATGGTGATTCGGCCCTTCACAGGGTCTGCATACTTTGTGCTACTTCCATCACTGCTAATACCTGCGACCCACTGCAGCCCCTTCCCTGGAGCCTGGCGGACCCAGCTCATGTAGGTGCAGCTGAAGGTGAATCCAGAGGCTGCACAGGAAAGTCTCAGGGACCCTCCAGGCTTCACCAGGTCTCCCCCAGACTCCACCAGCTGCACCTCACACTGGACACCTGCAGACACAAAACATCCTGGTCAGGAAACTGTCACACAACCAATCATTCTCTCACTCACATACACTCGTACACTCAATGTGTCTTGTTCACCATAAATTACCTTTTAAAAGAGCAACAAGGAAAACCCAGCCAAGTGCAAACTCCATGGTGAGTTGTCTGTGTTCTCTCCTGATCACTGAATGGGAACACCTGGGGAACCCGGGGCTGGGTCTCCTCTCCCAACTGCAAGGGTTGGGGCTCAGCTGGTTTAATCAACAGAGGGAGGGCCCTATTTGCATGTCCTCTGAATATATATTCAACTTGGGATCTATGCTGATAGAGAGGGCACTGTCCAGAGCAGGTGTGACTGCCATTGCTGTGGTGCTATTGTCACTTTAAAAAAAATATCATTTACTCTTTGATAACTTTCCAGTGTATATTCTTGGCCTCCATGTACTACTTTGGTTTTCCATGTAAACATAAATCTTGGCGTTTAGGTGTCATGTTCCCCCTTAAGTGATGTGAACCTACACCTAGAATTGTGGACGGTTTGTGAGGTGTCCAAGAGCATTTATGGGTGAGAGTAAGCCCCAGGATATAAGTTGGTGCTCCTCCCACAGTCCTGTGCTGCATCCCTGACACCCCCTTGGGACAGAGTGGGCAGGCTCATGAGGAAGGTGGAACCCCTCCTGTAATGGGGACAGAATGATTTTGCTTGTTCTAGAGTTTACCTGAAATACAGAGAGAATCAGGATTGTGAAGGTGTAATTTCAGGTCTCTCAAAGTTTACTCTCTCTGTGTTCCTCCAGAATCATCTCTGTGATGACCTGTAATAGCTCTGATATGTGTGCTTGTCACAGGATGAACTACACACATGCAGAGTGTGGGATATGATAAACACTGGTGTCACAATCAACATTACCGAGAGTGAGCACATCAATTCTCCCTAAAATGTCCTGTACTTTTCTTGGAGTTCGTCCTCCCTCTTCCCCTCTTCACCGTGTCCCCACATAAATATTGATTTCTCATGTTACTTTAGACTACCTTTAATTTTGTAGAATTCATAAATAGATAATTGTATCATATGTGCTCTTCAGTAGGGCTTCCTTGGCTCAGCATGAATCCTTGTGGGTACAGCCATGCTGCTGTGTGTATCAGGAATCATTGGTTTAATGACCCGCAGCTCTGAAGGTACAGGCTTGGAAGCACCAGCCAGAGGAGGATCTGAAGCAGCAGGAGGAAGCCGCTTGTTTCAGGGTTCATCCACACACCCTCCTCTCCCAGGAGCTCTTGGTCCCAGAAGGAGATTCAATCCCTTCCTGTTTGGTAACATGTTCTGCTGGCTGTGGAGAAGAGACCAGGAGGCAGAGCAGGTGGACAGGAGAATGTTGAGGTAGAGGCTCTGAAAGTCCAGGCAATGGAAGAGGACAGGAACTGGGATGAAGAGCAGAGAGGGAGGAACTGGCCAGGCCGCAGAAGAAACCTCTGCAGAAGAAAATTCAAGACTCAGGTACCAGGGTGTGGAAGTTACAACAGTGTTCAGGCTCTGACTGTGTCCCTATGTCCCACGTTCTCCACTAGATTCCACTGCTAACCTCAGGTGTGAGCTGCAGGCACCACCTGGGCAGAGGAGCTGCTCTTTGCTTCAAACCAGGAGCCTTCTCTCTTTGTCACCACGGCATGGAGAGGACCCATTTCTGGAGCCACACCTCCCCACACCCAACAGAGCTTACCTGAAACATATGGACTCTCCTTTTTTAGAGAACTGTTTTCCTACAATACTGAGGCTCATAAGGAAGCTCCACCCATGTGTGTCTCCTACTGACTTCAAGTACTTATTTACTTTGAGGCATCGTGGACCTTGACTGTGGGTTTTAATTCTGACTAGAATGTAAAGTGTCTGTGTCAGGACAGTGCAAATCTATTGCCCCCTCTGTCCCCCTCCCAGTTTTCTATGTTAATCAGAAAATAAGGACCATCAACCACTAAGTTAGGATGTACATCATGTCTTTCCTGAGGAATAACATTGTGTATCATGTTCTGTCTCTTTTTGCACAAATTGAATTTAGAGTAAAGGAGAGAGGCACTCCAATGGGGACGCATCGGGAACTGTACAAGCAGGAAGAACACTGTGTGGACCCACAGGGAGCCTCCCAGCAGCCATGTCATGCTTTGGGGCAGGGTGTTTTGAAGACAATTTCTTCCCTTGTAAGTGCTGATGATAACAGGGAACACTGTGCATTACACACATGCGTCAGTCCTCCCATAACCTGGGGTGGATGCCAGATATTTGATTCCCCTCCCTGATAATGTCTAATGATGTTTTTAACTCTCTTCTCCCCTTTGTCGCTCACTTCGTATTGGGGAAAATGGTTAGTTTGTTTCCCATGTTGTGAAATCATTCCTGAACCAAAGCCTCCATCATTTTAGGTGATGGAAAGTTTCTTGATTTGGGTTTCCATCCTGAGTTGTACCAGCTTTCAAATCCAGGGACCTAGACACACACCTGACAGCTGCCTGGTGGGACAACTGTGCATGGTGTGGCTCCGACTCAAACAACGTATGGTCATCAAATCCACAGTCTCCTGCTAAGTTTGAGAAAAGTGTCCTCAAGGTAAAATTACACAAACTCTCAGAGATGCATCACTCTGTTATCCAAATTAACTCCCACTGGCACTGATGGGATTACGGTCCCATGCATTCTGCTGTGGGGACATTTAAAAAAGGTTCAGATATCATATCCATCCTAAACCAACAGAGTCAGTCTGCCTCTCCACTCTAAGTTTTTGACAGCTTCTTTTGACTTTTAGAAAATTCATTGTAATAGAAGAAGAATTTTGACCTTGCTGGATGAGACAAGGACTTCTGTTCTGTCTCCAGATCCCCCAGTTTCCATTCCTGAGTGGTGCCTCAGGAAGACTGCCGACTTGCCATGCCATCCAAAAATGCACCTGCTTTCGCTGTAGAGAAACATGGTGTGGTGCTAATAATGTTCCTGCAATTCTTGTCCTTTGGGAGCACACATCATATCTTGTTCAAGGACCCAGGCTCACTGTCAGGAGGTTCATTCTTCTCTAGACCACTCATTGAGTCAGGTTATGTATATGGGCCACATATGTGAACCATTACTTACTGCAAAATAATATAATAATTGCATAATACTTAATGGGATTGCAAACTCAAACAACAATTGAATCATAGGATCCCTGGATCAGAGTAGAGAGGGAAATAAGTTAGGATATTCTGTAATACAACCCCAGATTTCAAGTCTGAGCTTCAGCATATACAGCAGAAGGAATTTATCACACGCTATTTGCTATAAGTAAACAGGGAGGGAGGAAGTGTGATGGAGTAGGGGTAAGGGTCCCTACATTTCTCTCAACACTGGAACACAGCTAGGGAGTTATCAAGTCATTCTGAGCAACCAAGAAATCAGTCAGAGGTCTGAGATTCGAAAACTGCAAGTGTACAAATAGAAAATCAACCACCTTTTGGAATGTAGGATGTATGCAGATTTGTCTTCTGGGTGATACAAGTGTGGGAATGACCGCAGGGAAAGAGTGAGCCTCCTGAAGCTACTGACAATGTATTATAGCAGCAGAGAGCAAAATCTGAACTCTTCGAAGTCCGCTACTGTGGGGATGTGCCTGGAATAAAGTTGCTGAAGTGGCAAAGTGGGGCAGAAATACAGGGTCTGAGGATCCCCTGAGCCAGAAGAAGAATGTGCGGCACCAATGTGATGCACAGTTACTAGGCATAGGAGCCTGAACCCTGGTCGAAGGGTGAGTCTCAGTGCAGGCTTTCTGCTCTGCTTTGTCGTAAATGGTGAACCACTGTGTGGTCATGTGACCTCTTTCCTGAGACTTGCAGGCCAAAGGCAAAAGGGCTATGAGACCCTTTGCTAGAGAATA